ACGTAACTAACTAACGTAACTAACTAACTAAGTAACTAACTAATACTACTATACGTACTATACGTTACGTAAGTACTACTACTACTACTACTACTACTCTCTCTCTCTCTCTCTCTCTCTCTCTCTCTCTCTCTCTCTCTCTCTCTCTCTCTCTCTCTCTCTCTCTCGTGCACAGACCTCCATATTGCATGTTGAGCAGCACCATAAGAACCCCACCAAAGTGCAGAGACTGGAGAATAGGTCACGACTGCCATTCCAAAGCCTCTATATAGTCCTCTGAAGCCTTCAGTGGCCAGCACTTTAGGGATTACATCAAATGGCCCTTTGTACACAGTCATCCCAGGAAGCCCTTGAACCATAAGTCTCTGGCAAATCTGTGAAAATTGAAATTGACAAAAGATTAACAGATAAAGGTTATAAAGTTGGAAAGAGTAGCCACGACTTGAAAAAGAACATTCTTCTGGAATATTGGCACAATCTCCCACAGGGATAGTAATTGTATTATTATTATTATTATTTTTAAAAAGGCCTAAACCCAAATAGTGTGAATGTGTTGCTCACAAAAATTCATCCTAATAAACAATTAGGTTGTTATTGCAAAGTAAGATATGGACCTTGTAAAAGAAACATAACAAACAACAAGAAGTGAGTTCAGACTTCTCCACCCCTCTTTCTTTCTTTTCATAATTTTCTAAGCTAAGAATTCAACTGCACCTGACAGATCTCCATCTATCCATAGAATGCAAGCAGATCAAGAATAATATTAAAGATGACAGCTTCGTTAATCATCACAACACGTTATTGCTAAGGCTTTTCTAAAACAACACGGGGTGGAACATGAGGAGATCGTTGACCTGGTGGCTGAGGCAACTACTTTATTTAGTTCACAGAAATATCATATTTGAGATAAGGGATGATAATAATGCTCCATTTAGGCAAACCACATGGTGTTGTATGAGTCCAAAATGAAGCAACTTCCCTAGCTTTATCAAGTGATTAGGCGGTGGATGCATCAAAAAAAGCTAGGCGGCCAGCTTGGTCCCTGGCGCCCAGGAGCTAGGCAGGCACCCTGAGGTGAAAAATTGCATATATGTCATGTTAATATTTGTTCTTTTGCATTTATATGTATTCTAACTAACTTTTTCCATGCAAATATATACTTGTGAATGTTGAAACACGTTCAAAACTTCAAATTACTGAAAATTTCCTGAAAAAAAGGTGAGTAACATAAACAAGTCCATGGTGTATTAACCTCCAACTATCCAATCCAAACTGAGTATGGCATACACCACCGACTCATGAACACGATCACAAGTAGATATGATGAAACACAAAAGAAAAGAATAAAACCAAGAGGCCAAATATCCAATACAAGAGGATGGAATACTCAAAAATTTCAACAATGAAGAGTAAGTAAGCTTATGGATGTCTCTTGAAATCTTAGATTTTTCTTTTTCGATTCACAAAGATCTCAAAATCATGGGGACTTATGGACTCACTAAGGGTATGGCCTTTAATAGAGCAGAATGAAAGCTTAGGATTCCTGTAGCCGACCCCAATTAATTGGAAAAAGGCTATGATGATGATGAGAGATCTCAAAATCAATGGAATAACCCCAATAGCCTTTTATGACAAATAGTGGGTCAAAAATGGCCCAAAGTGCCCTTGGGGGGAGAGCCTAGTACCTGGGCGCTCGCTTAGTAATGGCACCTAAGGAGGGCCGCCTAGCCCTGGGAGTGCGCCTTGAGGTCCTCCAGCCACCTAGGCCAGACCGTTTTTTTAAACAATGACCATAATATTAGAATCACACTTGGTTTCAGCACAAGGGGAATAACTTTGTTCGGAGTCAACATTTCGGAGGAAACACTAGAAAAGAATGACATTGGTGAGTTGCGTAAAATACTTTATATATATATTTGGCAGTTCTTCTAGTTAATGGTTTTCCTGAGCTTTATAGACAGGAGGTCTGGGTTCCTTTCTAGGGTGTATTTTCTGAGTATAAATTTCCTTCCGAGTATCATCACTTTCAAGTGGGTAGCAACTATTGATAGAATAGCAATCTACCAGTGGAATCTTTTAGTTCCCAAATTTGTTGTCATCATTGTTAATTTATCTTTGTATCTAGCAAATTTATGTGTTATAATTCATGATTTCTTTTCTTATTGAACAAGTTTGTGTGTTATCATTGTTATTCAAAGGGAAGTAAAAGAAACCATCAAAACCATCAGACCCATTCATTGATATTTTTGAAAGAGGTCATGTATCCATTTTATGCAACATGTGGCATTTGATGGGATTTCCATTGTTTGTGGTTGAACTTTCAAGTGGAGAGGTCGACCCCTTCTTAGGAGGGCCCATCTGTGAAATATTTGCTGACTAGCAATTACTTGGGTTTCGTGAATGAGTGAAGTAGAAGTTTTCAAGGTAACAGATACATTAGTAAAGAGAGAATCAAAGTGTCCATCATTCCATGTGCACTCATGAGATAAGTGTTCATTGGAATTAAGGTGGATGACTAAATTCATGATAGGAGGATGGTCATTAACAGAGAAGCTATGAAATCCAAACTAAAACCTTAATGGTGCATTCCACAACATGAGGACACCAAGTTAAATTTTAAACAGGATTTCAAGGAATTCAAGCCCCTCTGGAGGGGTAATTAGAAACAAGCACGTAAGAACAGTGCTCTGAAAAGAATAATTTAAATATGGAGCTTGCGACTAGAGTTTGGTCTAGAAGAAAGACTAAAAGGTTAGGTTCACATGTTTAAAAATATCTAATCTATCAATTTACTTCAATGTCAATTGTTAAGTCCCAGATTTCATGGAGACCACTGCAAACTTGAAGCTTCTAAATCAATAAAGAACAGAAATACAAAAAAACAATACGAAATGAAAAAAGAAAAATGATGTAGACCTAGAACACTGTGAGGGGAATTATGCCAAGAAGACCAATGTCTTATTAGTAAGGCCAACACAAAGTGTCACAATATTTGCATATTTGGGCCAGAAATCATGTTAGCAGGAGTATTACTCCTTATAGAACAGATACACAATAAATTCAACCAATCCAATTGAAGAGTTAAAGATGATGCTGGCAAAATTATCCCACTCAAAAGCCAGTAACAAGACCTGGTAAATATGGGCCTAAGCATAGTTTTCATGCCTCGTTGATTGGACCCTATTCAGTCCCTTTCTCAGTGCATTCATATAGTTTCTTTACCCATGTTTCAACTTGTCCCCAGATTGATCTGCCCTTGCCCTTTGCTGGCTTGCTAAATTACTCAGGCAACTTATTTGCTGACTCATTTATAAGGTTTTGAACGTATTCATGCATATGACGCACAGAAACAGCTATGGACACAGCTAAAACATCAATTTTGACATACATTGAGCAGAGAAACAACACTCCCCCGCCATCCCTTGTTGACACCAGCAGTCACAATCGAGCAGATTGCACGCTAATTAACTATCACTATATAAAAGAGCTCTAGCAAACAATTGATCCTTTGCTTGCAAGATCTGATCTTCAAGTGAAAAATAGTTGACCAAATCCCTTATAAAATAGAAAATTTGGTCCTTTAAGCTATAGATCATGGATTTCATCTCAGCGTAATGATGAGTGTAGAAGTAAAGCCCTGATGTTTCTTATTTCTTTTCTTTCTTTGATAATTAGAATCTTGCCAATGCGATTGACCATAAATTTGGTTCATTTAACAAACATTACTCATGGCTAGTGTAGTCCACTAAAAGTACCTTATTTGCTTTCGAGTTCGGATGAATTGATAGAATTGAGATTCTAAAACATTATCCATGTGTCGTGGAATACATTTTTGAAATCGAAATCAACCTGGTAACGTCTCATACTTTGACTGAATAAAGTCACTATATCTTCAGTAAAAAAGGAAGACATAATGCACATAAAAAGAACAATTGTCAGCATAAAAAATGTACTGATTAATCATGAAAACAATTAAGATTCACGTGCCTAGTTGTTGCATTGGATGTGAGCTTCTAGACCCATAGCAATTCATGTTATAACAAAGTCTAGAACCATAGCAATTCACGTAATAAAGACAACGAAATAATTCACTAGAAGAAACATAACTTTAACTAACCACATCCAAAGGCACAAAATATACACATGAAACTATATTTGATATCATGCCCGCCACCCCATTAGCCATTGCAATGCGTGTTGCCTCTGGCATATCTGAGTCCTCTGTATATTTTAGCACAGAATCCTTTGATACTTCAAATGCAGTCAAACATAATACTCTACCCGGCAATGATCCAATAGCTGAGGTACCAAAACCTCTGAAAATTCCGGGAACTCCATCTTTTCTCAAGATGTCTCTAAAGACTGAGGAAGCAGGCATATGCGACAAACCAGCTCCAGCAACTTGCATTCTGGTCTTCACAACTGTTATAGGATGAAGCACTGCTGACTGAACAGTGAAGAGGATGGCACCAATGACATGGAACCTTGTCTTGTCCAACCTATTGTTCACCATCAGAAAAAAGCAAAGTAAGTATGCTTCACAATGACAATTTGATTTTAATCTCATCTTTGTAAGATTGATGAAATTGTGCATCAAATTGTATAAAGATATTAAATTATTAGAAACATGAGTTATTAGGGAAAACATATGAGTTTAGCAATTGGAGAAGAGAATATTTTATTAGAAATAGAGCAAGTTCATAATAATGACCTCTTAGTAACAAGCTCTACCACTCATCATGAATTCCCTTCACAATGCAGCCATGTTATTGCTAGTGTCAGAGCCCTCTCCAATGAAGATAACATTAGTGGTTAACTTGGCAAGGTCCAATTTTTCTTCCTTAAGAGTAACATAGTGCAGTTACATGTCAATGCAATTTCATCGAAGTACACACACCGAGCTCAATAGAGAGGTCAATATCAGCTGAGTCAACTCATTAACAATATAAAAAAATAAATAAAAAATCAGCTAAGTCAAAAGAATATGAAACAAATAGGGACAAACTATTCAACAGATAAAAATTTTTATTGTCAATGCATTTTACAGTGCTTTTGACAACAAGAAAAAGAAAAGAAGAGCAAATGCTTCACCTATCCACGTCTATACAATGAGAATATAGAATATCAAAAAATGCGATTATAAAAAAAAAACACAAAAAAAAAGGCTAAGTTGTAGCAAAGCATTGCAGTAATTTCAAGTCCTCACAAGTTTACTTTTATTAACTTCTTTCAGCTTCAATTACTTGAATTACTAACCCAGCTAGAACCCCAGCCTCCAATGAGGAGGGCCTAATGTTAACCAATGAGTAACCTACAGCATATTACCCAGACAATAATCATTGTAACATAAGTGTTAGCTGCACAGCTTTAACAAGCAACAAATTTAATGGATAAAGAGGTTTCTATCAACACTGGAAAAGGGGGTTGCGTATGTGAGAAGCAGGTTGACATTCATCTGTAGGTGATGCCATTCAGAGTTTGAACTGCTTTTGATGTAATGGATTTTTAATTTGTTACTTTCTAAATTTTAGATTTGGGATTGTTTTGGGTGTCTTTTTTTTTTTAGGGGTATTTGAGTATTTCTTAGTTGTAGAGAATTGAGGGGTAGAACTAGAAGTTCATTTCTTTTAAAGATAAAGGGTTAGGATTTCATATTGATTAGGATTTCTTAGAGAGTAAGTTAAGGTTTTTATTCTATAAATATAGAGCTATTGGGCAAAAAGACTAGAGAAGAGAAAAAAAGTTTATTTTGGGTCTTGTGAAAAATCTTTTTGGGGTGGACTCCTTTCAGCCCCCACATAGGGTATGACAAGAAGAATAGAGAAAAGAATAAAATTTTATATTGGGTCTTGTGAAAATATCTTTTTAGAGTGGACTCCCTTGCAGACCTTACGAGTGGTCTGGTTTGTTTATTTTCTTTCTCCCCTCCTCCCTGCGTCACACTTGTAGTTCTCCACCACCACCGCCATCACCACCAAGAAAGTGAAGGATCTTTCCAATAAATGGAGTTAGGCTGGTTGCCAAATTGACTTAGGAAAAACTAAGGCCATATACCAAACTTGCAAGAAAATGGAATAAAGTTGCTTTTCCCATATCTTGGTCATAAATTCTTTGGTAGAAACCTAGTCTACATGATTCACCCTCCCAACTGACAATGAAATACAGCACAAAGTGGGAAATGCTTTCGATCAAAGCCCTATCCATATCATTGTGCAATTCTTGTTCACAAAATTGCACAAAACATGATCAAAATATTGGTTTCCCGATTTATTTGTGTTTACTGTGAGACCCCATATTGATTAACTTTAACCAACCCACTAAAGAAAGAGAGAAAAAAAAAAAATCACCTACCAAGGAACAAGGATTTCTTTCAGTTTCCATAATACTTAACCATGTAAAGTGAACAAAACAAATATTGCTATTTGTTAACGCCTTCAACAAATGTATGCTCACCATGATCTTCAATACATAATTCAATGTTCCGAGTTCAAAATACTACCTGAATAAAGCCAAAACTCGCGTGGACGCCATCACGGAAACCCAAATGCAAGAAATCTAACATGACCATTCAATAAGACTTTGAAATTTGACATAAAAGAAATAAAAATAAGGTCAAAACCTACCGGCAACATTAAAAATTAACCCAAATGCAAGAAATGCAACACAAGAAATAAAAATACGGTCAAAACCTACCGCAACATTAAAAGTTAACCCAAATGCAAGAAATGCAACACGATCATCGAATTTCTATTTACAAATTAGCACAAAATAGGACGCTACATCAACAAGGAGACCTCTTCCAGCAATGATCTACGCCCTCCACAGTCCAAAAAACCCAACCACACTAAAATCAAGCCAATAAAAATAACATGCCAAAAAGAAACCAGAAGCACCATCACAAATATCAAAACAACCCCTGAAACACCTTTAAAAGAAAAGAAAAAAGAAAATAAATCTCTCGAAACTCACATATATGGGCTTTGAAAAGGAAAAACTGAAAGAAAAATTAAAAGTTCATCAACCCAAGAAACAAATGGCTTAAAATTGAAAGAACCAACGAACCTATCCCAGTTAATGTCGGTATCAGAGAGAGCCAAGCTTGAAGCAGTCTCTGTTTCCATCTCCATCGGGTTGCCGCCAGTTTCAAAGTTTTAAAAGAGAGTATCAGCAAATGCTAAAGGTTTTGTTGTTTGCTTTTAGCTAGGGTTTTTTGGCAGCTTAAGCTCTCTCAAAATTTGGAGGAGTTTTCCTTTGCAATCTTTTGCTTGTCTTCTGAATTCAGAGGTTCTTAATTTCGTTAAAAGCACGTCACATGAGAGGCCTTCTGAACATTTCCCTCCTGTTCTAGAAGCACAGGTTTAAAGTGTGAGCGAAAACGATTGGACGAAAACACCCACGTGTTTTTCTTCAAGGAAAAACTTTATATAAGGTTGCAACCTGTAGAATACATATTCACCTTAAAAATTCATCCAAAAATATTGTTTTAATGATGAAAAACCCTGTAATTCATCATCTCCACACCAAGATCCATGATTATAAATGAAAAACAGGAATTTGAGTCTCACAAATAAAGTCCTGTCTCCATCTACCAACTAGAGAAGCTTATTGGCATTGGCAAGTAAGATTAAGAAAAAACCTTCAAATCCAATGTTAGTGTGTGAAGCCATATTTCCTATAAAATGGAAAGTTTGTCTTTAAGGAACTGGATATAATTGATGTGTATACTTAACTGCCCCAACTTTATGAGTTTTCTATTATCATGGGCTTTGAACTCTTTTTTTTTTTGACTTGGATGGTAGGTGAGCCTAGGGGATACAAGACTTTCTTAGTCCAAAAATGAAGGGAAGAGATAAGTGGGCTTCACGTGGTTCGTTTTATGTGGTACCTCTTTATAAAAGAAGTTTTGTGGAGAGAAAAAAAGAGATGTAAAAATAAAGAGAAAATAGTTGATTTTATTGGCCATTGGGTGAGTATTCTAGAGAGAGTTAGACCATGTTTTGGAGCTTAGAGAGAGCTTGTAATCTCTTATATTCTTCATGTTTGTACGATATTTTTTTATTAGTGAAAGAGAACTTTGTTACCCCGTGCATATATAGGCAACTTGCTGAACCACATAAATCTCTATGCCTATTTTTTTGTAATTTTTTGTATTATTTTTTATTTCCCTTAATTTTCCCAAACTTTGGTTTTTATCTTATACATCCACCCCAAGTAAAATTTTTATTTTTATTTTTTTATGATAGAAATCCACCATCCAAACCCACATTTTTTTTCATTTTATACAATGTAGGTCTGGCACATAGTGAGTCGGACTAGCATTTGGTTTCCATTGAAGACGGTCCAACATATAGTGCGTTGGACCAACTTCTTGCCCCTATTGAAGTGGTTCTAACACACATCGTACTAAACGAGCTTTATTATAAACAATGAACCCGGCTCAGGATACGTTGTGTTGGACTAGCTTCATTATGAACCATGAATCCGGTTCGGCATAATATATGCAAAATTAGCTTTCAACCTCTATTGAAACCGGTATGGCACATATTGTGCCACAACAACTTGATTGGTTTTTAAAAAATGCATAGTGAAACCGCTATGGCACACATTGTGCCACAACAACTTGATTGTTTTTTAAAAAATGCATAGTGAAACCGCTATGGCACACATTGTGCCACAACAACTTGATTGTTTTTTAAAAAATGCATGCTTAGAGGGGGGACATTTACGCCATAAAAAAGTCATTTTTTTACTTGGCGGTGGATACCAAAAAAATAATAATAATAATTTTGGGTTACTAGCGTGGTGCACATAAATGTGGATCAAGGGGTATTTATAATTTTCCCTTTGATGCAAAGGGAAACTGAAGATTAAAATAGAAAACTTTTTTAAAAAAATATATTTAAAATAGAAAATTCTTGAGGCACATTCCTTTCCGAGGACAGTTTGTTAATTGAGCAAGCATTTTCAACAACTGCTTTTCCACAAAAAATGCATAAAATGAATTGAGAAATAAGAGCATAGAAATTGAGAAAGCACTTTCCTGATTGTGAAATAAAAGCATAGAAATCGAGAATGCACTTTCCCGAATTCTACAGCAACAACCGCATTCTCAAGTAACAAACACAGGAAAATGGTAATACGCAAGAAAAGACATACTAGTGAAAATAACTTTTTTGAATAAATTTGCCACAATGAAAAAGGAGGAAAAGCATACTATAAGATCATTTGGGCATGATCCCCTCTAGCCTTGAAATGCCTTCTAGCCTTCAAATCCGAAAGTGGGGGACTAGGGGTTGTGCCATTGACTAAAGGGTCTAGTTTGTGTAAGGTTGCAACATTAAACAATCCAATTAAGGTGCACCTCTAAATTTTATCATAAATATAATTTTAATATAAATTTTGTTTAGAATGGCTTGAGAATCTATTTCCATCTTTAATTATAAAATTTTAAACTCTAAGAATGGTTCAAATCAAGTAGACCTATAAAGACATGAAAATCTTGAAAACGGACAGTCTAGATAATATCTTGCAAGATACACTATTTTGCAGACGTAAAATCTTTTTTTCTTTTTATATTCATACATCTCGATGTTGAATGATCAATTAGAGGGTTTTCCAACATCCAAACAACCTTTTATGATGGATTTTTAATGAACACGTTTAATTCTACATTATAAGGTTGCAACCTTATATAAACTTTCCCTTTAACTAAATGTTTTTTTTTTTTGACTTTGTGCAAAGAAATTACACACTTCAACCCTCAGATTTTACATCTGTTAGCTCGGGGTTTCTGTAACCTTGTGTACCAAAGGTAAGTTCAACATGTGCACACCATTATAAGCTTTTATTTGGTTTAAAACACCAGCTGATTTTTCGAGCCTTTAGCAAAAAATTGGCATTACGCTGGTACCAATCTCATGAAGCTAGGGCAATTGATAATTTTTTTCTGAGTAATCCTGCTGAAACTTCAGACAATAGTTACAATCATCAATAACTAACCAATCAAGTTAAAGCTCGATTCCCCCACACAACATTCTCTTTCAAGCATTTCAACCAATCAATACGAAGTCGGAAAACGGCTCTATATAGGCATTCCGAAGGACACTCTTTATCACATGGCTTCTCAGATATGCTCAGGCTTCTCATGTGAGGCCTGTGTCTTAACCTATGAGTATCACTGCCCTTTGCATTTAATACAGAGCTATCCTAATCATTCCTAATAAATAGGTTTACTTACCCCAACAATATTTACTTACCCCCAAAAAAAAAAAAACGTGTGGTTTCTATATAGTTGCAACCTTAAGCAATCCAATTAAGGCACACTCCAAATTTTCGAATAAAACATTTTTTAAGATTATCTGCAAATCTATTTTTATATTTGATTATAAACTTTAAAACTCCAAAAATGGTTAAAATCAAGTAGATCTATAAACATATGAGATTCTTTGAAAAGTGACAGTCTAGATAAAATTGTTTTTGAAAATTGACGGTCTAGATAATTTGTTGTAAGATGCATTGTTTCTGATATTCAAAATCTAAATTTTGTTTTCGTATTCATACTCATACATCTCGATGTTGAGATGATCAATTAAAGTGTTTTTTAACATTAAAACAACCTTTCACGTAGTGCATCTTTAATTCTACATTTAAGGTTGCAACTTTATATAAACATTTTTCATATATATATATAAAATGTTGGTGTAGGCTCACTAGCTTACTATTACATATGAGTCCAATGGCTCAAATTTAATTTGGGTCGATCAGACGAACACGACCTCATTTTATATTTGAATTTTAATTTTAGTTTTTTTACAAATCCAAATCACATGAAATTTTCAATGTCTATTTTTCTCATCAAGGTACACCTAATAAAAATATTAAAAAATAATTCACAAAATACAATTGATCAAAATACCCCTGAAAAGTTTTGGGGATATGTCGGTCAATTTATTTTTTACTAAATATTTTTTTGATATTTTTATTAAATTCTCCTAGTCTTAAATAACACCCATCCAAAATTTCAAGTTATTTGGGTTTATAGAAGAAAAAAATTTTTAAATTCAAATATATAATGCAATTGTGATAATTGGATTGGCCTAAATTCAATATGGGTCATTGGGCTCATATGTAGTTAGTAAGCTAGTGGGCCTATGCCAACATTTTCATATATATATATATATATATAAACTTTTTTATTTTATTTTTTTTTACAGGAAGCCATCATCATCTTCCCAACCATATAATGAACAAAATTTAACTCCATAATCTTCCAAACTATCTACAGATTCAATCCTATGAATGAATATATGGCCCTTCCATACCAGCACCTTACATGGCAAAGTGGTACTTAGATTATGAATTACTATGATTTTTTTTTTCATAAATTTCCTTATATTTTTTTATAAATCTCATCTTCGCATTCTCTCATTGAAACTGATATGCAATGGGTGCAGTTCGTATAAGGCTGAGGCTCTAAATAGTTGTGCACCTTCAAATAACATCTAAAGATGTTGTTTTAGTACAAAAAAATATGTATGAAAGCCTAAAACTTTTTTATCTTTAATTATAAAATTTAAATCTTAAAAAATAGAGCAGATCAAGTAAATCTATGAACACTTGATAATCTTAAAAATTGCCAATCTAGATAATGCTTTACAAGATGCACTATTCCAAGATTAAGGGTTCAATTTTTTTTTAAGCCCATCTCAAAGTCGAGATGATCGGATTTAAGGGTTTTTTGGCATCGAAAAAACTTTTCTAGTGATCTTTTAAGGCGCCCCTTAATATTATTGTTTAGGGCCTCAACCTTACATAAACTTTTCCCTTATGGAATATGATGTGAAAACTTTTCCTAAGAGATTACACAAATCAATATCTCAATAAGGGACATAGCGACATTATAGTGAGGCAGCACACATTTCCTAAAAAACTCAAAATATATCTAAAACAATATGTCATAGCTACTTTTCTCTATTAAAAAAAAAAAATACAGTTAAATTTAACACCATACCTTTAAAAATAACAATAAAAAGAAAAATAAAACTATGGCAATATCTTTTCTATCTCTTAGTTTCATTTATCTGTCCTTAAACCTCCAGAGAAATCAATGGAGTGCATGGAAGAGAGCTCTGGATCCTTTGAGCTTTCTTCTTCTGAACAATCAATGGTTTGTTCTTGGTTATCAGGCATTTGTGTAGAGAACATGGGCAAAACTATGCCCTCAATCCTGCCTTCATTATCTACTTTCTCTTGGGAGGTATTGGTAGGCACAATACCCTTACTGTTCATCTCCTTTCCTTTCCCCCAAAGTACTGAATAAAGCCCTGCTACTATCAAAATTGAGCCCAAAACACTGCATCATGATCATTGAAACTCATTAGATGAGCACTAAACAACTTAACATAGGAGAAGAAAGCATTGAAATTCTCTCTCTCAAAGATATTCCATTCTTTCATTTTCATTTAAATTCTAGACTCGGAAATGATTTATTTTTCATCCTTTCCAATGTTTATCTTGGCCCCTTACCTTAAAGGAGAGAGGGAAATTTTATTCCACTGAGATATTTTGGTACCATATTATGTTTTGGTCAGTGCTCCAAAAGCCGATTTGGACAAGGCCAAGTTATTCGGCATCTGCACCCTGCCGAGACGAGAGTGACAAACTCGGATTTCTTAAGAGATCTTAAAATAATGCTGTTTGTTTTTACTAAATCACTAATAGATGATGCATAAACATATTTCCATATAATTTGTGTTTTCTGTGATCATTTGGTGAAATTTTTCATATTATGTGCTGTATTTATCTACTTTTCCCCGTTTCGAATTTTTCTAAATTCAAGCTATGCCTCAATTTCTTCTGTATAATTACTTCTTTAGCTTTTTACTGTTTTTTACTTTTACCACACACACTTATTTCAATTTTGAGCCCCTTCTGGGCTTGTATATTGTTCAGGTGAGTCCACTCAGACCCACCCGAGTTAATCGGTCCAGTCGGGGTGGAGTCTTGAGCCCACCCGAGGCGAGGCGAATAATTGAACATTGGTTTTCGGTTGAAATTTGTACCTTGAATCCCTAAAAGTACGGTCTTTTCAGTATTTGAACTACAATCAAAGTACAAGACACATAAGAAAACCAGTCGGTGTTATAGGAATGTTACTGACCTGCCCAAATACAATTTCTCATCGAATAAAAGTATTCCAATAACCCCCACCATCACAAGCAACAAGGGCCCGAACATGGACACAAAGAGGGGACCCCTCCTTGAAATTGACCAATTCATTAATGCAAATGCCAACCCTGATCCAAAAACTCCCTACAGTTTTCAACAATAACACAAACTCATCATTAAATTATTAATATCATGGCTTAATTAATTGAAAAGTAATTTTATACAATGGTTGTTTAGTAATATAATGAAATGATCTTTAAAAACCATGTTACCGCTATTTATTTAACTTCAAATTTTAAATATATAATCTTTAAATTCCAATGAACAACCCTAAAAAAAACAAAATTTGAAAATACACACCACAATAAATTTTTTTTTTAGTGCAATTAATATATGTCATCTATTTTAATGAGATGCTTAGATCTAAACCCTAGAAGAGATTTTTTTTCTTTTTAATTTTTTTAGATGGCTTTATTAGCATTATATGAATAATGTTAAAAAGGAAAAAAATGAAATTGAGTTTGTAAAGAGCTAGATCTTGAAATTCATCAAATAGATGGTCAAGATTCAATGTCGGAGGGAATTCATTTTGACTATATCTAGGATACAAATTGAATTTTGTTTTTCTTGAGATTGATCACTAGGATGAAGAGAGGGTGTGTGCCAAATTTAGAGTCAAATAAATAATAAAGATATGATATTTTTAGATGTGTGGTTTCATTATATTATAATGACACGGTGACATGATATCATTCCTCCAATTAATATCACGTCCAAAATTTGATAAAAAATCTTCACTTGGTGTTACATAATTTATTGTGACTTGGTATCTCAAGGGAATCTTAAATCTTTTTCTGTTACAATTTAACTTCAAAGTTTGATGAAAAACCAAAATCTTTTTCACCCCAAAATACGCCATTGCATGAGTGAGCTCTCATCCAAAAACAGGCAGGCATAAAGAAATGTATGGTGACAATTGACAATTGGGGTACATGAAAGGGCTTGATAATTAGATAACAATTGGTAAGTTGAAACTGAAAGGACAAAACAATTACAAGAGGAAGAGGAGGAGGAGGAGGAGGAAGACGAAGAAATCAAAAGAAATGTTTCAAAATTTGCCTAACTTAGGGACTCACATTGGAATGGAAGGCTGTAGATCCACACCGAAAAACCTAGAATCGCCCGAGTCTCCCAATTTTACTGTATTTTTAAGATTTTTTTTAAAAATTCAATGCCCCGGTACGAGGGTCACCTGAGTCAGATAGGGAGTACTCTAGCTCAAGTCCTTTGTGAGTGGGAGCCTGAGTCCAACTTTTTAGACATTGATCAAGACTATGTGGAATGAACTTGTTGATCATCTGAAGAAAATCAACTTTCCTTTATTTCTATAACTAAGACCCTAATAAAAATAATGGGTATCTCAAGAGGAGGTATTGCTTTCTTCTTTTTCAGGTAAGAAGGGGTATGGCTCATACCCAAGCAAGCGCAAGCACTTACTTTGATTTCCACCCTTTTGGCCTACTGTGTTAGAGCCTGTTCAAATCCCATGCCTAGACCCAGTAATAGAAAATAAGAGATATATGCCAAGTGATGCCATTGACTTGGCGTCATGTTTATTTTATGAGTCGCATACAACATTCTTTATGAAAGTGGTTTTGACATGGTATTCAAAAGTGAGGTTGCTTTCAAGTGGAAGTCTCAGAAAGGACGAAAGGTAGGTCTAAAAGGACATGATTGGAAGCAGTGAGAAAAGATAGGCCTCACTGAAGATATGGCCCTTCATAGAGCTGAACGGTGGACCAGGATTTGAAAAAAAACTTTGATGACGATGATGATTCAAAAATGAAATTGTCAAAAACTTACTGTGTAAAGAACAACCAGAAGCCTGATATTCCAACCCAAAGCCCAAGCTGAAATATCCCTTTCCACAATGCTTGTAATTACGGCACATTGGATGGATGCCATGGAACTCGTTATTGCTGTTGTTGTATAAGGAGCTACAAATGTCTTGCTCATCTTGGCCTGGGAGAGTAAACAATTGTCTTCCTTAATATTTTTTTTTCGTTTTTTTTGTTTTTATAATTCAAATAAAATAATTTTTATAAAAAAAGAAATAAGTAATAGTGGGATAAGTTCATGTGAAAGATTGGCAAAATATGCATGAATACAAATTTCATTTAGCAAAAAGAAATTTCAATAGACCATGCTAAAATTTTCAATGAAATAACAGATAGGAAGTATTCATAAATTTAATGGCTATTTCAATACTAAAATATGTGTTCACCTATAGCTGAAAAGTAAGTGCATCCAAAAAAATTATTCCTAAGAGACGTAACCGTAATAAACTGGACCATTGATCATTTTTCACAAGTGTATGTGTGTCTTAATCAAGTGTCCTAATCTTCTCAAATACTATTAAATTTATCAAAGGAAATATCATTTAAGGAATCCCTTACAAAATCATGAAGGGGACCACAACAATAACATTAGAAGGTTTATATTTTAGTTTTTATTTCACTTAAATACTTTCTCAAAAACGTATATTAGAAAATACCCAAATTGTTTACATTCACGTTGAACAAGCAAGGGTATTTTAAAAAATTTAGCATTTGGATACTTATGCCATTACTTTGAGGCCTCTTAGGTGGGTCAAATAAAAAAAATGCCCTGCTTATTCAAGATTCCCAACGGCGCCATTTGGGTACACTTGATATTTCTTGAAAATAAAAAAAAAAACCTTAAAACTCTAGTTGGTATCTTTTTTTTTTACCCCCTCAATTATATTTTCCCTTTTATTAATGTAAAAGTATTTGGCGATCGGGCTGACTCACTTATTTATGTTTGCTGCCCTTTTGAATTCAAAATTTTAGGTTTGCTAATCTCAACCATGACGATGACCATGAATTTGTTTTTTTTTTTTAAATAAATAAAATAGCCGTGCATCCTAGAGATAGACATTTAGTGTATAATAGGTGAGTGAAATAGGAAATAGTAAATGTGCAATATGGTCATATATTTTTGTTAAGTTACCTGGATTAGGAACCAGATGGCCCATGCTAAACAGCTTAACACCACAAAAAATGAGCCAAGAATCATTTCTTGGGCATCAATGGAGTTATCGGAATTTGAGTCTGAATATTTCAAGTGGATGCCCGATGATTTCAAAGGGACAATAACGCCTTTGTAAAACGTCATAAGCATCGCACCACCCACGCACATTACTGTTCCCCAAATCTTTGCGTGAGCTGCTAAGGTCTTTAAGCCCACTGTCTCCATTCTGTAAAATTTAAACAAAATTTGACTTCTGAAATAATCAGCGGGAGAATAAAGAAGAAAGGAACCAAACAAAATTTTGGGGCGGCAATGAGCCGCGTGACCCAATCCTAAAAAAACTAGGGTCTGGGTCAGGGTTGGCCAACTGTAGCCCCAATGTAGGTCCGGGCTGGGCCTGGGCTAAGGTTGGCCCAGTTTGGCCTAACCAGACTCTCTTTTTCTTTATTTTTTTCCTTTTATTTTTATTTTGGCCATGCTATGCCCAGCCTCGATGGCCCCCCGGCCTCCTTGGCCTAGTTTGGGTTGGGCCGGGCCCGGACCAACCCTGTAGGGATTAGGGCCGGGCTACAACTAGGCTGGCCCTTACCTAGGCGTGACAGGTTGCCAGCCCTAAACAAAAACTAGAAAACTATCTTTCGAATTTTATGTTACGCTTGCTGTAAATACCAAAAAATTAAGTACAATGCTTTCCTTTTAGAGGTAGGTAGGCGTGAGAGTGCAATAGTACGGAAGGCGCTCCTCATTGAACCATGGTTTAAGAGATCGGTGATTCGGATTGGGACTAACCAATCACAATTAGGAATAGGTAGGGTTGCACTAGATCCTGTAAAAATGTCAGTAATCGGCATGCTCAAGGGATTCCCACTGATTTCTATTGGTTCACTAACAAAACCAGTCAGTTGTGTCAGAGAACCAACACGAATCGGATTCACCTTTTTTAAAAAGTTTTTTAATATTTTAGTCCCACTTAATTTTTAATTTTTTTTATAATTTCCAGTTCGATAAACCAGATTTTCGATTCATCAAACCGAATATGAAATCCAGAAGAACGATATGGGTCACCGATCTGTTTTTTAAAGCCTTGCACTAAACCATTGCTCTTGTCGAAGAATACTAGCATTTACAAATCTTACAATGCACTTGGATAAGTTCTAATATTTAATTAGAAAAATGGGTTCATATAATATATGATTATTTACTTTTAGATAAGGGGGCTACAGTCGCTCAAACCTGTCAATGTGAAATTTGATAACTTCGGGTTGTTTTTAAAGTATGAAAAATATTTTTTAGACTTTGAGGCTGGTCGAAAGGACGACTCCAGCTACCCGATTTCACATCCAACTACTAAAGTTGATTGTGATCTCCTTGTATTAAAAGTAAATGGTCTATGTACTTTACCTTAATGGTTGTTTACATCAAAAGGTGTGGATTAAATAAAACATCAACCTTAAGTAATCTAAGTAAGACGTAACTTCAAAATTTATCGGAAGATGTAGTTCCAGTACCAAAAACCATTTCAATAGCCTAAAAATCTATTTCCACCCCTAATTACAAAAATTTAAAGATCAAGTAAATCTATAAATATTTGTTAGATGCACCTTAGTTTAATTATAAAAGATTGACTCCTTGGTATGGACTTTTCATTCAATGAACACCCATATAGTCTTTTACCCATGTACGTAAAGCTTGGGAATCCCCTGCGAGTGTTGTGTAGAGTTTGCAAAAATATGAAGGGATTGTAGACTATGAGACCATTTACCAATTGTTATAAGAAACTCACAATCACTCTCAATCATCAGATATTAAGTTGGGGTGTATCACAAAGTTTGATATTTTTCTTTGAATGTTGAGTCTAGTCAATGACACACTTATAACCACCCAAATTAAAATCTGATGGACATGAGTGATTGTGACCTCTTTTTACTAAAATTATTTGGTTTCTTTGTATACTTTTCCAAAACTAAGAACTTTGCCCTACATATAAATATAAGTAATAATGCATCTAACATGCAAAAGTAAAAGAAAAGTTTTATATGAATCAGTAAGGTGCAAGAGCCCGCTGACCCTTGGATGTAGTGTAAATTGCCCTAGATCAAACAATATATAGACAAATCCAACAACAATCCCCAAACAACACTTCTAATGTTTTTTTATTTGTCCCGTATTCATGATCAGCTTGTCCTAGATCATGAATCATGAAATTTGGATAAAAAATCCACCTTAAAGATGGATTTTAGAGGGAGGCCGTATATGTACATATGAGTTGGCTAACTCATAAAAACCCCATCCAAAGTAAATTATTTGGTTATTTTATGAAGAAAAGTTTACCTCTTGGGCAATTGGACAAGTGCATTAGGGAAGTTAACTTCAATTTTTGGGCAATTGACAAGTTCTTTAGCATAGTATAGATGGAGATCTTACATGCCATTTTAAAGACTACTTGCTTGGGGAACCTTATAGTGTAAAACTATTTGTCTTTGCTCACAATCATTTTTAACTGTTAGAAGTCATATTGGATAACTTTGAGTCGTAAAGTTTGATTATTATTATTATTATTATTAACTTTGAGCTTGATGAATGTTACATCTCAAACCATTTGATTTCAATATAATTATCAAGAGATAATTATCAAGGCTAATGTGACCTCTTTAAAATGAAGATAAATAGTATTGTTATATTCTTCATGTTTTATTAAACTACAACCTCTGGTGAGAAAGAAAATCTTATAAACCTACCAATATACCATTCATTACAGTGATCAATCTTAATAAATAAAAAAGAGCTAGCAATGACACAAAATTTCCTGCTGATCATTTTTTATAATAAAAACAATAATGACCCAAAAATTTGCTGGAGTGTTAGTCTAGTCGTTTAATTGCAAAAAAACTAAACTTTCTCAATCTATTCAAAGCTATTTTGCAAAATTCCGAAAAAGAAATCCTTCTAAAATGGTGTTTCCTAGCAGTATAAGGCGCATAATATACTCTTGCGCTGACCTGAACCTTTTATTGAATGAAAATTTTCAGATCATTTTTAGTCCTACATATTCACATAAAATACTAACTTATTTGAATTCCACATGATCCTAAAAAATATATAAACTAATTGTTACTTGAATAAACAAAAAAAGGCCTGGTCTGTTTTCATTTATAATCAAAAGGAAAAAGTTTGTATAAGGTTGCAACTTTATATTATAGAGAAAAAAAGGCACGCCTACAAAATCCATCCAAAAAGGTTATCCTAATATTGGAAAACCCTCTAGTTGATCATCTCGAGGACCTTGAGATGTACGAATGTGGAATTTTTTTGAACGCCAAAAATAGTTCATTATGTAATGTTCATGCATTTGTAGATCTGCTCAATTTGAACTATTATTTGAGTTTTAAACTTCATAAGTAGATGTAAAGTAGATTTTTAGGTCATCATTGAAATTTCTGACAATAAAATTACATCTTTTGATCAATTTTCGGAGTGCGCTTTACTTGAATTGTTTAAAGTTGACACCTTATACAAACCATACCATAATAAAAAAAAGGCATTCTACGTTTGACACAAAAGAAAGAGAAGATTGAATGAAAGCTAGAAATTTGGGAAAAATACAAAAATATGAAAGAATAACATAGAAAATGGACAAAATCAAATGAAAATAAAAAAAAGGGCAAACAAGTAAAAATAACTAAAATATTTCAGAGAATATATATTAGATACACCAATTTTCCTGTAGTTCCTATTTGTTACTCGTCATCATGACGACTTCATAATGTTAACGTAGTTGAGTTATAGGGAACAGGGATGTGGTCGTGGTTATAACACCACTTGAGTCTCAGCTACAGATCTAAGTTTTCATTCCCACACTTGAGTCTCAGCTACCGATCTAAGTTTTCATTCCCACTTATGTATTCGAAAACCACTAATTATTTTAGAAAGGCCTATATTATATTGATCTACCAAACAAAAAAGTTTAAACCTCGCCAGCTTAGGCTTAAATGTATTAGTATCATATTTTCTATATTGCCCTTATTGTTTAAAAAACTATGCTCCTTTTATAGGGGTAGTTGTGTTATTCTATAACGGAAAGCAGTGATTCTTTAACCTAATATAAAAAGATATCCATGGAAAAAAAAAGGGTTTCATAGTACTTCATTAATATATAAACATCTTTGCACTTTAATAAATATCAAAATGATGAAAGCCCTTAAAATACAAATAAAATATAATGGGCAGTGATTTCATGCAACGATTGTATAGTAATATAATGCAACAATCTTTAAAAACAATATTAGGCCCATTTGTTTGATCCAAATTTAAAAATATATACTCTTTCTTTCTAACGAACAATCACAAAAAAAAAAAAAAAAAAAATTGAAAACAAAACATAAAATGCATTTTTTTAGCCCAATTAACATAGATCATCCATTTTGATAAGATGCTTAGATCTAGGCCTTAGAAGGATTTTTTTCTTTTCCAATTTTTTTAGATGACTATATTATCATCAGATGAACAACGTTAAAAAATAAAAAAAAATGATTTTAAATTTGTTAAGGTTAAGATCTTGAAATTCACCAAATGAATGGTCTAGATTCGTTGTTACAGGGGACTCATTTTGATCATATCTATTGTTTAAATTGAACTTTCACTTTTTTGGGATTGATTATTAAGATCAAGAGAGCGTGTGTGCAAAATTTTGGGTCGTACAAATACCACAAACGTGATTTTCTAGAAGTGTGGTTGCATTATAATATGATACAATTGTTGTATTAGATCATTTCTCAAACATAATACTAGTGCTTTTACTTAAGGGAAAAGTTTATATAGAGCCGAGGCTCTAAACAATCAAAATTTGAGCCTATCACAAAAAATTTATTAGAAAAGGTTGTTTTGATGTCCAAATATCTTCAAATTGATCATCTTGACATCAAGATGTATGCACATAAAAAAAAACGGATTTCAAGTTTTGGAAATAATGTATTTTGTAATGCATTTTTTGACCGTCAATTTTCAAGATTTTCAAGTTTTCATTGATCTGTCGATATACACTATTTTTTAAGCTTTAAACTTTATAAAAAAATATAAAAATATATTTTAAGTCGATCACAAAATTTTCAATATTGAAACCACATTTCTCGACACTATTTGAAGGTAGGCTCTAATTTGATTGTTTAGAGCCAAGGCTCTATACAAACCACACCTTTTAAGTAAAGAAAAAAGTTTATATAGAGCCGAGGCTCTAAACAATCAAATTAGAGCCCACCTAAAAACTTTCACTAGAAGAGGTTGTTTTGATGCCCAAATATCCTCAAATTGATCATCTCGACATCAAGATGCATTGAGATGAGAAAAAAATAGATTTCAAGATTTGGAAATAGTGTATCTTGTAATGCATTTTTGTACCTCCAGTTTTCAAGATTTTTAAGTTTTCATATATATGCTCGTTCTACACTATTTTTGAAACTTTAAATTTTATAATTAAAGATGAAAATATATTTTAAGGCTATCACAAAGATTCCAGTATTGAAACCATATTTCTCGATACTATTTGAAGGTAGGCTCTATTCTGACTGTTTTGATCCTCGGCTTAATACAAACTGCACCTTTAAGTAAAAGGTGCAATTTGTATAGAGCCTAGGCTGTAAACAATCAAATTAGAGCATCTATCATTTATCCATATTCACAATATAAAATTCCAAATTTAACCTTGGACTCAAAACTACTAGGAAACTCAGGAATTGAGAACGAACGTAATACACAAAAGTTTAGTCTGATTTTATAATGGAAAATTGTATGCCGTCGAAAAATAGTAAACCATCCATCTTAAAGATAGATGCAAGTAAGTATTCTATCTAAAAACAATGGAAACTATCGGTCCAAATGTTTTTTTACTAGAATTATTATTTTTAGTTTTTAAAATTTATTTATTTTTTCATATTCATGATCTCCATGTTAGAGATTACATGTCTTTAAAAATTAACTCTTAAAATCCATCTCAAAAATAAATTTATTAAGATACCCATATTTCTACATATACGGGCTTGGCCGCATAAAAACCGGGTCCTTTTATAATTCCCAATATAAATAAAAACTAAATTTTAGTTGATGTAATGTACCTGAAAGGAACTGCCAAGACGAAAGTAAGAGCTGGAAGTAAATTACACAACGCACAAGCAAGTGTTGGAGAGGTTTTTTTGAGCCCTGCAAAGTAAAAGCTCTGATTCATTGTTGCCCTGCATATTACCCAAAATCAGTAAATAATAAAAGGAAAAACTAGAAAATATAATATTCATAAAATGGTCTAGAAGCCCAAAACTTTGGAATTTGTTAATAAGAGCAGTAGATAAATGTAAAAAATCAAATAAAATAAAATAAATAAAGAATGATAATAATAATAATAATAAAGAAGAAGAAGAGGAGAAAGAAAGAGAGAAAGAAGGAATAGAAAATAAATGGGAAAAAAGGCTTACCCAAAGAATGCACATAAGAAGATCTGAAATAGTATTTTCCTGTTGAATTTCAATTTGGTATTCCTGAAAGAAAAAAGGGAAATTTATCAAACTTCATGGGACATACACTATTTAACAGTTACACCTTTGCAACTGTTCCAACTCATAATCATATATCTTTTAAGGAAAAAGTTTACATAGAGCTGAGGGTCTATACAATCAAATTAGAGCCCACCTAAAGCCTTTCACTTGAAGAAGTTGTTTTGATGCTCAGATATCTTCAAATTGATCATCTCAACATCAAGATGCATGGACATGAGAAAGAAATAGATTTCAAGCTTTGGAAATAGTGTATCTTAGAACACATTTTTTTACCGTTAATTTTCAAGATTTTTAAATTTTCATAGATCTGCTAGATCTACACTATTTTTTAAGCTTTAAATTTTATAATTAAAGACAAATATATATTTTAAGGTTAGCACAAAGATTTCCAATATTAAAACCACATTTCTCGACAATATTTAAAGATGCGCTTTACTTTGATTGTTTAGAGCCCTGGCTCTATACAAACCCCACCCATCGTTTAATAGAATTTTGAAATTAAATCAAATTATTCGAGTAAAATACTAAAGAGTTAATCGCTTGATATATTTTCCGATTAAAGAATGATAAGAGATAAAAACAATCATTTTTATGCTGCCGTCTTTCGAGAGAATGAAAACCTCATAACGGAAGTGGCACCCTCTATTCTCTCTCATGCGAGTGAATTATGCTCCTGCAGGAGCATATTGCGCACTTACTCCACTTAGGAAGATCCTTTTTATCATAAATTTTGGGAATCAAAATTACTAAATGATTATGTTCAATTAAATTTGAGTTTTCTAATACTTAGGTCTCATGTTTCAAATAAGCCCTAAACAATCAAAGTAGGTGCACCTTCAAATAGTGCTAAAATATGTTGTTTCAATATCATAATTTTTTTATGATGGCCTGAAAATTATTTTCATCTTTAATTATAAAATTAAAAGTTAAAAAATAGTGTAAATCGAAAAAATCTATGGATACTTGAAATCTTGAAAATTGATAGTCTAGATAATACAGTACACAATTCACTATTTTCAAGACTTAAAAATTAATTTTTTTCTCACGTCTATATATCTTGAGGTCAAGATGATTGAATTGAGAGTTTTCAGCATCACAACAACATTTTGCAATGATTTTTTGAGGTGTGCCTTAATTTGATTGTTTAAGGCCTCACCCTTATTATATAAACTTTTTCCTTCAAATAATAAATAGTTTCTTTTCAATGCATTATTTTTTCTCAAGCCCATAGAGAATGCAATGTGGAAATTTTTTTATTGAAATCGGCATAGGGTTGAGAAGTTTTGGATAGTTTCTTTTCAATTGAGGCATTTATTTCAAGCCCATAGAGAATGCAATGTGAAGTTTTTTTTTTTATTGAAATCGGCATAGGGTTGAAAATTTTTAGATCCCCAAAATTTGGGATCCTAAAAATACTTCTAGATTGGGTTTTATCGGAGGGAGTAAATAGACAGTGTACTCCCTCACAGTGGAAAAAAGGGCATTTCTATAACTTTGGAGTATTATCATTGAGGGGCATTTGGGTTAGTATGCAGTGGAGTGAATGTCATCACCCTGATTTTCTACGTCGTGGTGATGCATAATAAATCACAAAACTGCATGAACAACTCTCTCATGGAACCCACAGCACATTGTGATTTATTCAAAAGTGATTTACATATAGACCCTAAAATTTTAGGTCAAATACGAATGCTCATGTAGAAATTACAAAAAAAAGAAGTCGGTCAACTCACTTTTTGTCATTTTTTTAAATTTTTAAAATTACTCATTGGTCAACCTGAATTTTAATTATTATTATTATTATTTTAATTTTTCATTAATAGAGCAATACTTTAAAGCTTGAAGAACTACCCTACTCATGAAAAAAATTATATATATATATATGAAAAGTTTATATAGGCCTAGGCTCTAAACAATCAAATTAAAGCCTACCTCAAAATTTTCGTTAGAAGATGTTGTTTTGATGCCTAAATATAATCAAATTGATCATCTTGACATCAAGATGCATGGCATGAGAAAAAAATAGATTTCAAGTTTTGGAAATAGTGCATCTTGTAACGTATTTTTGGACCGTCAATTTTCAAGTTTTCGTAACTGTGCTCGATCTACACTATTTTTGAAGCTTTAAATTTATAACTAAAGATGAAAATATAATTTAAAGCTATCACAAAACTTTCCAATATTGAAACTATATTTCTTAACACTAATTAAAGGTGGGCTCAAATTTGATTGTTTAGAGACTCGGCTCTATACAAACGCCACCCTATATACCTATACATGAAGCATTTCGTATTTAATTTTAGGGTCCATGCGTAAATTACACTCTCAATCTTCTTACCTTTCAAAGAAAAAAGCCAAGGGGGCCATGACAGTAGTAGCCACAAACTGCCTGTAAGTGACCATCACAAATGGGTTCATCCCACTATCCAATGCCATTTTGCACAAAACATTGAGCCCTGTAAACGCAATTTGCACCACGATCATGGCCACGACGGGCCCGAAGCCTCCTCCCATCTTCTTCTTCTTCTGATTCTGAGAAGAGAAAGAAACAAAGAGGCTTAAAAGATACGATCCCCCCAAAACCCAATTTATACACCATGAAAAAAGTTGAGACGTGAAGGAACAAAATTTTAATGTAACTGAAAGTGAAGGAGCAAAAAGGGTGCTGATCTTTCCCTGCTTAGGACCCTACCTGGCATAAGCTGTGTTTTTGTAGCCTTTTGATGGAGACGGTTTTGCATGAGAGAGAAAATGGTTTTTAGAGAGAGAGAGAGATAAAATCTCTCTCTCTCTCATATATGCTACCGGCAATGGACACTCATAGATTGTTCTTTGCCTTTTGCTGCGACGGTTTCTCTGAGAAAAGGTGAAGAGAGAGAAAGAGAGAGATCGGTCTCTTTTCTCTCTACTCTCCCTCGCTTATTTGGTATGGCTCTCTTTTGGATGGATTGATTTGTAAACGCCTCAAGCTTTCTCGAAAGGAAATAGTGGCACGCCTCTGATATTTTTTGTTTTTAAATTACACAATGCTCCTTATTTAACACGTTTGGTTAAGGTGGCCACTTTATATATCATACAACTAAGATGTACCTCTAAATTTTGGCTGCTGGAGGATCTGGAACCATAACGATGGCTTAAAAATATATGTTCAATGTTGAACCCGAAATTTAAAATTTTTTAAAAATACAAATCAAACATATTTATAAATAGAGTTATTTACATACAGACCTTAAATAAGTTAAAAAAATACAAGTTGCTCCCTTTGTACCTGAAAATTACAATTAAAGTCGGTCAATGTAAAAAACATTTGACAAAATTACCCCTCGATCATCCTTGAACTTTTTTTTTTTTTTTTCAAAATATAAAGTTGCTTTTTAAAAAAACACATAGTTGCGGTCTAAGGATTTCAACATCAGACCAAAACTTAAATTTTGAAAAAAAAAAAAGAAAAAACGGTCCGAGAATGTCATCTTCAGATCGCAGCTTTAAGTTTTGAAAAAGAAAAAAAACGGTCCAATGATGCCATCCCTGGAATGCTTTTAACTTTTGAAAAATAAAAATAAAAAAAAGGGGTCCGGGTATCGTTTTCTTTTTTTAGAAACTTAAAGTTGCAGTGTGGGGATGAATTTTTTTTTCTCTTCAAAACTTCAAGTTGCGGTATAAGGATGACATCCTCGGACCGAAACTTTAGTTTTGAAAAAAAATAAAAAATAAAAATAGTCCAATAATGCCATCATCAAACCGCAACTTATGTTTTGAAAGAAAACAAAAAGCAGTCCCAAAATTTCAACATCAGATTGCAATTTTAGTTTTGATAAAAAAAAACGTTGTTCGAGAATTTCATCCTCGGACCACAATTTAAATTTTGAAAAAAAAAAAAAATTGTTCTAGAATACTATCCTTGGATTGCAGCTAAAGTTCTTGACAAAAAAAAACAGTACGAAGTTGGCATCCTCAGACTTCAGGGTCATTTTGTCAAAAAAAAATTGTATTGATCTATCTTAATTGTAATTTTCAAGTATAAAGAGAGCAACTCGTATTTTTCTAACTTATTTAAAGTCAGTACATAAATAACTCCTATAAATACTTGAAAATCTTAAAAATAAGCGCATCATATAACTTTGTACAAGATATGCTACTCTTGGGATTTGAAAATCGGTATCATATAACTTGTTACAAGATACGGATTTGAAAATTGGTGGACCTCATGTATTCTTATTTTGGATGAGGACCTCTTTCCCGTAGTGTCCGAATTCATTGAATTTTGTTGAATTTAACGTCAAATACTTAGAACTAATAAGAATGAGAATACATGCAATTCAAATGAATTGACCTAAAAAAAGAGAAATCAATATATGAAATGAAATGTAAATGTGTAATTCTATGAAAAAAGCCAATTATAATGAAGCGTGTAAGTTCTGTGCCTAATTCAATTGTAATTTGATCCAAAGTTAGATACCAAAGAATATAGTAATGACAAAGATCGGGTCGAATTTTATATAGGAATTCCTTTATAAATATCTAACCTCGAGATGCAATAAATAAATAGCCGTACTTAGAAATAATAAAAAATACAAGCAATATATTTACTAAAAAAAAAAATCTTCAATGTAGAAATGATGTCATTGATAGCCTAAACCATTTGAGGCTGCCTCTTTGAAATATTGAGTGTCTTTTTTTATTCTATTCTTCTTGTAACGGTATTACGGGGCCACCTGAGTCTAGTCAAACTTGCGTGAGTAACTCTGCCTCGTCCTATGGATGAGGCCGAGTTGGGACGAGTTCCATGGGAACTTGCTCCATCTTTATAAATGAGATAAAAATTAGAAAACAAATTTAAAAAGGAAAAAAAGAAGAGTTAAAAGAATGAAAAAATGTAAAAAAAAAAAAAAGGAAGAAGAAAATGCGAATTAGGTTTTTAGATGATTTTAAAAGTTTTTAAGCTGATTTGGGTACTTTTAAGAAAATGGAAATAACTACTGCACCACGGCTAACAAGATTTTAAAAAGGGCCATTATAACGAAAATAATGCAAGAAAACTGCCCCTACTTGTGATCTTGTATAAAGGGAAACGTACAGCGGTATAAAACGGTCTGTACTGAAAATAATGGCAATTGTTATGTAAATAAAATGATGTTGAAAATAATTACATAACGGCCTTTATAACACAAATAACAGAAAAAGAGCC